TCCCGATAGAGCATCTCCATTGTCTCAGTGTGTGGGTGCACCCCTCGCGGTCCTGAGTTCCTTGCTCATGTTCGCTCTCCTTCTGCTCCTGATTTGGACCTTGAGATTTCAGTCCAGTGCTCCAATGTGGGTCTCTGTCTCTGTCTCCTTTCATCGCCTGATGAAGGTTAATATGCAGGAGGATGCCTATATGTTTTTCTTTGGGTTCTCCTTCTTATTTAGCTTCTCTAAGAACCCGAATTATAGGCTCAATGTCCTTTATTTATGGCTAGAAACCAAATATGAGTGAGTACATCCCATGTTCCTCTTTTTGGGTCTGGCTTACCTCACTCAGGATAGTGTTTTCTATTTCCATCCATTTGCCTGCAAACTTCAAGAAGTCCTTGTTTTTTACTGCTGAGTAGTACTCTAATATGTATATATTCCATACTTTCTTCATCCATTCTTCAATTGAGGGGCATCTAGGTTGTTTCCAGGTTCCTATTTTGAGTTCTTTTCTGGAGCTTAAAGAGATTCTTCTCAGGATGGACTGTTTACTTTCCCTTAGACTCTGTTGTGGTGAATATCCTGTGTGTTTATGGACTCCCTCCAAGATGGAAGACTTTCATTTCATAGGAACTGCTATACAACATCCCACCACATCCTCCTACGTCCTTTCGTGCCGTGGGCCATGCAATTGGAGTTCCAGATGTCAGAAGGGGATCCTCTGAAAGTCAATCTTGTTAGGCAAAGCCATGGGACTGCAGACATGGAATGTCTTGCTTCTACTGTGCCTTTAAATGCTTGCTGTGGCTCCCTTCCTCTGGTATCCAGCATGGTGTGAGTGGACGTGGGGAGATCTCCACTACCTGTAATATAGTGTGTTTATCGTTTGGAAACATCTTGGCATTTGTACCTGTGGATCGTTAAGAAGATGATTCCCCCCAGAAGCTGTACTATCTAATAAGGATAGTTTTTTAAAACATTTATTTATTATGTATACAATATTCTGTCTGTGTGTATGCCTGCAGGCCAGAAGAGGGCACCAGACCTCATTACAGATGGTTGTGAGCAACCATGTGGTTGTTGGGAATTGAACTCAGGACCTTTGGAAGAGCAGGCAATGCTCTTAACCTCTGAGCCATCTCTCCAGCCCAGGATAGTTTTTTTTTAAAACAGTTTTGATGAATAAAAATAAATATGAGGACATGTTTCACAGACAGAGTCCGTGAGTCTCACCTAAGGATCTGCACAGATTGTAGCTCAAGTTAAAGACTAACACTGAGTCCCAGTAGCCCAGCTAGTTTAAATTCTTTTAACCTTAATGTTGGGAGATGTGTTCACAGGTCTCAGAGTGCATCACAGCTGAAACAAAGCTTTGAAAATAACAAAGCTAGACTAAGATGTTTTTGTTAAATAACGGAGGTGAAACCCATAAAGTTTTAGAAAGGCACATAGCTGAGCAAGGAACTCTTTCAGGTCAGGTAACAAGAACAAAGCAGCCCAGTTATTACTGGTTGATATACTTTTCTTGCTAGGTTTGGTTTATGATTGATTCCTTATACCTATTTTGTTCTCAATCTCCTGATGTAAAAAAAAAAAAACTATTTATGAATTGATATGTACTCTAAAGATTTAAGTAGAGCTGATTCTTTTCATATATAAAAGTTTAGGTTTGTAATTTCTTTAAGATTCCTTATAAGATTACCATTCAAGATAAGCAATAAAGTAACTGGCCCTTTATTTGTAACTGCAAAATGTACCCTGCCAGTAAAAGACCTGACAAGAACACCTTGCGTGGCCACATGGTTAATCTATAACAAGTTGCTTGGGTATGAATGTGTGTGGGTTCCTGGGATAATTTGCTTTTCACCTGTAATACATAAAACCATGTGAGGGAGAAGGGAGATGAGAAACATGTTTGTACCCATAATTATTCACTTGAAAAATGGAATGCAACTATTTTCATTTTTGTAATGCCTGGAAGTTTCTGTTGGGGTATAAAAGCTGTAAAACAACATGAGATGAGAGAGAGAGAGAGAGAGAGAGAGAGAGAGAGAGAGAGAGAGAGAATTAAAAAATAGGAATAAAGAAAAATATCTAGAGAGTTTGTGAGTGCCTTTTTCCCTAATGCCCCTCAGATAGAAAAGTTTAGCCTCGCTAATCCAACTTCGTGGATTCCTGTCAAGGCCCTGTGCTGCTGGAGGCTGGTCCCCAGACAGCAGTTCTTTCTGCCCTATTTTCTGCAGTGGTCCAGAGCCTTGGATGGAAACACAGAAGTTTGACAGGTCTTCTAACTCTTATAGGATATGGAAACTTTTTTTTTTTTTTTTTTAAAAGACTGGCTGCCATGGAACTCACTCTGTAGACCAGGCTGGTTTTGCCTCCTGAGTGCTAGGATTAAAGGCATTCGCCACCACTATCCAGCACTTTTTAAAAATCTATGTCTGCTTCTAGAACATGGCTGGTCAGTCTCAGTGGTGTTTCTTTTGCTGTAAAATACAAGTGTGGAAAATGCAGAAACTGAGAAAAGAAGAACATAAATGACATTAACAGCAGCAATGACCTCTGGTCATAAACGCAAGTGTTGAGAGGCCTGTGAGAGATGGCTCAGAGCTTAACAGCATGGCTGCTCTTCTGGAGGTCCTGAGTTCAATTCCCAGCAACCACATGGTGGCTCACAACCATCTCAATGAGATCTGGTGCCCTCTTCTGGTGTGTAGGTATACATGCAGGCAGAGTGCTGTGTACACATAATAAACAATCTTTTAAAAAAGTGCAAGTACTGGGAAGCACTTAGCTAGCACATCATACTCATTGACAGAAGCAATGGCAGTTGTTTTTCCCCTGGGACCTATTCATTCCCTGGTCGTAGGTTTTGTGTAAACCTCCAGCATTAGATGTGAATTTCCTCTCATGAAGCAGACCTTAAGTCTAGTTGGAAAGCTGGGTCTATCCATAAGTACGCGCGCCACTATTGCTCTGTCTGGCAAATCTTGGCAGGCACTGTTTATTAGGAGGTATGCAGAATCCATAGCTGAGTAGGACTTTGGGTCATAATTATTCTCAGTGACATGAGTAACATCTCTGATGATACAAGAGCTGGACTACAGGACAGGGACATTTCCAATCTGATGATACCATAGGACAGGGACACTTCCAATCGGATTATACAAGAGCTAGACCACAGCCTGGTGACATTTCCAGCTCAGTCCCAAACCTATAATCAAAGCAAGGGATGTCTTCAGCAAGAGGGTCACACCGTCTACTTTTGGGAGGTGACACCAGTAGAGGTCTTTATTGTTTTAGGGGCCTCTAGAGAATCCCAGGCCAACATCTCAGGAGCTGAATCGCCCCAGTACTGGGATTTTTAGCAACCTCATAGTTTCTGTGAACATCTGTTCTTACTCTTACAAAATATCCTTGTTTTTTCTTTGTAAACAGATTTTTTTTTTTGTTGGTTGTGTTGTGTGGTTTTTAGGACAGGGTCTCACTGTGTAAACCTTGCTGGCCTCAAATTAACAGATCTGCCTGCCTCATCTCCCAAGTGCTGGGATTAAAGGCATAGGCCACCATGCCTGGCTGTGAACTAGTTATTTTTATTTTCACTCCTTTAGGTGTACTTGCATATCTCTTAAATGGGCTATCTAAAACACATAAGAGTTAACTTTCTTTCTTTCTTTCTTTCTTTCTATCTATCTATCTATCTATCTATCTATCTCAACCCCCCCTTTTTTTTTTAAACAGAGGATGGCAGGACACCACCACCAAAAGTCCAGAACCACTATCCAATAATGAGTAGTGGGGTTACCTTGGTAAAGCACTCTTGCATCTGTTGTCATCTGCTGTAAGCAAATGTCAGGTGACTACAGAAGTTCACAACGAAGACTGATACTGAAGTAAACTGTTAGCCATAGTTTAATAGTCTAACAGAGCAGGCAAAGATTTTATCTGTGTGGTGGTTTGAAAGAAAATGGTCCCCAAAGTGAATGACACTATTAGGAGGTGTGGCTTTGCTGGAGTAGGTATGGCCTTATTGGAGGAAGTGTGTCCCTGTGGAGGTGGGCTCTGAAGTCTCAAATATGCTCAAGCCACACCCACTGAGACAGACCACTTCCTGTTTCCTGTGCAAGATATAGAACTCTCTGCTCCCTCTCCTGTACCATGTCTGCCTGCACACTGCCATGTCCCACAATGATAATGGACTGAACCTCTGAACTGTAAGCAGGCATTTATATGCATAAAAATAATAAACGCTTAAAAAGAAACCCATCAAGTGCACAAGAACTGTGTGACCAAGGGTGGTGGGAGGAGCAGAGCAGATTTTGTTCTGTGTGTCTTGTGTCGTGCTAGCTCTAGGCTTCAGGGAAGTCCAGCTACTCTGCACATACAGTGCGTTCTTGGGTTCACGGTGTAGCTTGGCTAGGGCTAAAGAAAACAATGAAGAAACCCAGAACCTAAACAAAGGAGAGGCAAATGAATTCATTGGTAAGTAGTGGCACTAACTGAAATACGAGGGACAGAGTGAGAAGGGGATAGAGTTTCCAATCACTAATGTTCAAAGAATGAAGAGGAACAGGATCCCCTTGGAAGGATCTGAAAGGTCTCTGCATGGACAAGCCGCAGAGGGATCCCTCAGTCTCTACCAGCACAGCTGGAGTCTCTATTCTTTCCCAGAGCCACTGCCTACTTCAGCTGGGAGAGAGGGGAGGGAGAGAGAGGGAAGGAGGGAGAGCTAAGCAAATGGTGGATGGACCCACATCTCCCTCACCTGCCCTCCCATGTGGCCTCTAGACACTTCCCTCTCTGAGATCCAAGATACAGAAATGGGGGAGAGCTCCGGAATTTCAAACACTTGGTATAAGATTTTCTGTGTGGGCAGCAGTAGCAGTAACAACGACAACATGGAGTGGTTACACACATTGTGTGGGCCCTCACAGACACAGCAACCTGCCTAGGGGGTTGTCTAGGTTTCTACTGCTAGACAAAACACCATGACCAAAAGTGTGCTATGGAGGAAAGGGTTTATTTGACTTAAACTTCTGTGTCATTGTTCATCATTGGAGGAAGTCAGGACAGGAACTCAAATAGGGAAGGATCCTGGAGGCAGGGTCCAGGATCCGTGATGCAGAGGTCATGGAGGGGTGCTGCTTACTGGCTTGCTTCCCTTGGCTTATTCAGTCTGCTTTCACAGGACCAGCAGTCCAGGGAAGGCACCACCCACACAGGCTGGATTCTTCCCACCATGGATCCCTAATTGAGAAAATGCCTTACAGCTGGATCTCATGGAGGCATTTCCTCCTTTCTCTGATGACGCTAGCCTGTGTCAGGTTGACACAGAAAATTAGCCAGCACAGGTGTCCTCAGCAGCCATGAAGAAGGAAGGACTGTGACGCACAACGGTGTGATTGTGGCTCCAGCTGAGGTCAGCTCCGTCCTGGAAGCCTCTCTCAGTCGCTTGTCACGATTCTGAGGGCCAGAATCTCAACCGGAAACATCTACAAAGAACACCAGTGACAGCAGGTCATAGCTGAGAGGAATAGGGGTGCGCATCCCACCTGCCCATTCAGTTCTTACTCTCAGAGGGAAAGAAAGATCCGAGACAGCGACAGGGGTTTCTTAAGGTGACAGAGTGTCCCGGTGGGAGCGGCAGCGACTTCAGATGCTGGATGAGGCACAGCTCAGTTCCCAGAGGGTGGCACAAGTGACACCTGCTTCCTGGAGTCACGCAGGCTCTGAAATTCCTAGAAGCACACGTCAAGGACATTAGAGCCCCACAAGTGGAGCATGACTTCTGACTCCTGGGGCAGCCGCTGTGCTCCAGCCTGGATGCTCTCTGGCTGTTGTCTCTTCCCTCCATCACCAGAGCACAGGGTTGGGGCACTGCAGCAGGTCAGCCAGTAATAGCCTGCCACCACTGTCCTAGGGCCTGGAAGCTAAGGAAGTTATCAGAATACTACTTCACGGGAAGTGAGAACTGCATGCAATTTCCACTGGTGCCCATTAACAATGTATTATTACCAGAAGACATGTCCAGGTCATTCATGCTGGCAGCGAGTCACGCGGCTGCTCTCAAGGCCCTCTGTCTCGCCCTTCTTTTCCCCCAGGCTCTGCCCAGCTGTGACCGTCACACATGACAGCCTCCTCCCACTCCCTGTACTACTACCGTGCGTCCTCTCAGGTCCGTTACTCTGCTTAACTGTTTTCATGTGGACCTGCCTCTCCACCTTTGTCTTCCAGATTATCCTGGACTCTGCCAGCGTCCCAGCTCCTGGGAGGGGGCAGCTTGACCATCAGCCTAACTATCCTGGGAGCCAGTACCGACTGAGGGCCTGGCTCATCACTGTGTTTATTGAATGTCAACTGACAAAAGAACAGCTCACATCGCTGTACAAAGGCAGCCAGAAGCTGGGGTCAGACACAATCTTCACTCTTACTCCTTGTAGGTAAGACTGGAGTTGGGCCCATGGAGGGAAGAATTGCTGCCAAGATGCTACGGGAGGCCCGAAGCAGGCACAGACCAGGGAGTGAGGAACAGGTTCCTACACCTGGAACAAAATCCAAAGGAAATGCAGGGACAGTGGTCACAGGGCTACCCTCTGACAGATCTGGAGAGAACCTCCTTCAGGTCTAAGTCAGAAAAAGGATGGGCAAGGAAGTTGTCGCCCTCTTGAGGGCAGAGCTCTCACTACGAGGATGCTGCAGAGAACCTAGGTGGAGAAACAGGATTTATGTTTTCATCATCTAGCTCCTGTGTCCCTTTAGCCTACAGCTGGCTCTGTCCATGCAGCTGCCGGCACACTAGGCATTCTGTGGAGAAAAGGACCCCTAGTGATGGGATAGGACGGCCTGAGAACTTCGGGGCTTAGACAGGAAAGCTATGAATGGGAGCATCCGTGTCCCAGCTCCTGGCTGCAAGGTCCCAGGCTTGACAACCCCAGCAGCCCTTCTAGGTTGGAATTTCATCCGCGTTAGTGAAGAGGGGTCAAGGCAACAGGTCAAGGCCAGGAGAGTCAAAACTGGCAACAGCCTTGTGCCTTTGCCACAAGGTAAAGATGGTAGCTTATCTACCATCCATACCTTCCCAGGCTGAGGATTTTGGGCAAGCAGATGTATCTTCAGAAGACTGAGTGAGAGAGGTTCTCCATGAGCTCTGAAGTAAACAGAGAGCCAGGCTGCAGAGAGTAGGGGGCCTGAGGGTGCCGTTTCCCCCAAGAACATGCATTTTTGAAGCCTCCTCATAGTCCTTGCCATATTTTCCTCACCACGTCAGGCCTTGGGGGATGCTATCCACCCAAATCGTAGCCAAAAAGCTGTGACAACTCTCCCACCATCCCCTCCTGATGGCTGGATTATTGTGTTACGTCACCAATCCTAGCTGCCAGACGGGGGTGTAAAATCAGTGATGGCGAAGCCTGTGGGTGCAGTGTGGGTAGACTTTAGGGTTGAAAGTCTATTCGGCGAGGTCCTGAATACTAGAGGGGTTTTAGACATGGGACAGTTAGAGAAGAGGAAGGACTGAGGTCTGAGAAGACAAAGCCGGTGTGAGCATGTCCGGTTCTCATTCTTATGAAACCTCCCTTTCCCTAAACACCCTAAAGACACTGACGCCTGTTTACACATTCTTGATCCTAACGCAGCTGTTTCTAACAGACTAAACTATGAGAACAACTTCTAAAATGCCTTCCACCGTCTCCAGCCCATCCCACAGGCAAGGAGCTGGATATGAGGTCACCAAGAAAGACTGCAGTCCATCCATGAAGGTGTTATGCCCAAATCTGCGAAGTCCCCGCAAAAGCCAACAAGGAAACCGAGTCCCGTATGTAAAAACAAAGAGCCTTTATTTTAATCAAATTTGCAAACTCAGTCTCCCTGCATGTCCAATGTACTGGAATAAGAGGAGAGCTCCGAGCTCAATTGGAACTGGGTTTTAATAGTCGTAAAGGTGGGGGTGAGGGGTCTCTGAGGTTCAGGACCTCTGATTGGCTGACATTTGCCTAGGGGTGTCCTGGTGAGGTGTGCTGGCAGGTGATCCTCTACACAGCGGTTGGAATGTCAGGCATTTCCTTTGAATGGTCTGCTCCTGGGTAATCTCAGCTTGTGTTTTTTTTTTTTTTTTCTGCTCCCAGGTATTGCTTCAGGGTAAACTACTGAGACTAGGGCCTCTTATTAAATTTATCAAGGGCCAAGCTCTACTCTGGCAGGTGATAATGGTTGGAAATAAAGAACTTCCTTTGGGTGACCTGCCCATACTTAGCTTATCAAGGCTGGCCCCCACAAAGGTCAGCTACTGCACACTTTGTCTTGAGCCTTGGGAAGCCTGTGTTTAGGTGATAACAAAACCAGCACAGTTATTTAAAGGCTAGCAGACCCCACCAAGGATTAAGTCCAGCAATTGCCCAGCTCCTTATAACAACGGGCACTGAAGGGCAGAGAACTCACCCTTGTGTTTCCTGGGAAAGAGAGGGAGAAGAACCCCAAGCTTGAGGTTGTGGTTAGGATTTCTTGCTATAGCCTCTGAAAGTGTGTCATGTCCAGTGTCCTTTATGCAATAAACAGAGAGGTCAGTAAGGACTGATTGCTATGCCTCCTGTGCTTTTTGTAACTAGTGACAGAAAACCAAATCTCGACAGACTGACTGTTCCTCAGGGCCTGCCAATTTTTTATTCTGCATTCCCCAAACTCTAATTCACCGTAGAACAACTCTGCACCTTCATTACTGTATAAGAGATTCAATATCTACATTGAGGAGGAAGAATTCATAAATCTATGCATGAAGGACTAGACCAAAAAAACCTCTTAGTTAAAACTTTGTGTACATCTGTTATTTGATGTTTTTAACGTTTAATATTGTTCCAGAAAAGTCTTATTTAAAAACGATAATCTGTAAAACCAAAAACCTAACTGCGAAGGCCAGATCAAGGTTCAATCAAGACTCACACTTACACCCACTGCACTCCAAATTGAGGCGATTTAGAAGCTCCCAGCCCGCCGGTGTTCTGAAGTGCGCAGGCGCAGTGGCGCGGGGGCGTGGCCGGTTTTCCTGCGGGCGGACACTCTGGTGGAGCAGCGACTCAACCCCCGCAGCAAGACAAGCGTTGCTTGCTCGCTTCAGCGAGACCGTTCTGCGGTTGAGGGTGAGTTCGGCTGCGTAGGAAGCGAAACGAGAAGGGAGGCTCGAGCGGAGACGCAAACCGAGGAGGCTGCCCGAGAGAGCTAGGGGGCGGAATGCACGGAGCGCGCGGAGCGGCCGGAAGTTTGGGGGAGGTGGAGACAGTGCGTGATTGACAGGCAAAGAACCAATGCGAGGGCAGCCCGGCCGGCGCCTTCAGTTGAATGTGCGTAGCGTGTTGAGTGCTAAAATTTAGGAAAGCTGTATTAAGCGATTTCCTAGGGAATTATTTTATCTAGTGAACGTTAGGGGTGCACCATTACTGCCCCTGTTAAACATGAAGACACAGGTTTATTGATAATTGTTAACCTGAGATTCAGTTTGGCAGTTGTTACGTGCTCTGCTGTACTGCCGGGCTTTAGGATTCAGGAAGAAAGATGGGATGTAAATCTACCACATTGGTAATGAAAGTAGCATAAACTAAATTCATGGTTTTTGCCCTATCCTGAAATCCTGGCTAGTTTGCAGTTTTCGTATTCGGTAGTTCCTGTCTGTAAGCAAGCGGCCCGTGTGCTTGGTTTTCCCAGATAGCGTTCTTCACCTCCGGCTACTTTATTCCAGGGAATCGCCTTTTTAGTCTTGCTGGTTCTGTTGTACGTAGGTGATCTTGACCGAAGCAGAGCTCTATGGACCTGGGTTAAACCCATGGCTTTCTTCTTGGAGTAACTAATAATTTCCCTCCTTAACACTCCCAATAGCTTTCTGTTGGAGATCAAGCTCAGGGCTGCTAGTGAGCTGTGCCCCCAGCCAGCAGTTATTTAACATCAACATCCAGCAGCCATGTTCTGTTATGATGTTGGTGATAGACTGAGATAATAAGAAAAAGGGGGGGGGGCTGCAGAGTGTTTAACACATGCCAAATGCTCAAAGTTTGTTGGTTACCTTTTTATATTATTTTTTATTTTTTTGTTACTTTTTTTTTTTTTTTTTTTTTCTGAGACAGGGTTTCTCTGTGGTTTTGGTTCCTGTCCTGGAACTAGCTCTTGTAGACCAGGCTGGTCTCAAACTCACAGAGATCCGCCTGACTCTGCCTCCCAAGTGCTGGGATTAAAGGCCTTTTTAAAACCTTTTTATTTTTATCATTTTATGTGTGTGGGTATTGTGCCTGCGTGTACATCTGGATCCCTGGAACTGGAGTTAGAGACAGGTGTGAGCTGCCATGTGAGTGCTGGGAATTGATTGAACCTGGGTCCTCTGGAAGAGCAGCAAGTTCTTTTAACTGCTGAGCCATCTCTGCAGCCCCTGTTGATTACTTTTTTCTCCCTCCCTTCATGTTTTTAATGGTTTTTCAGTTACATAGCTCATAGCTCTTTTTATTATTGAATTATCTTTGTTATTTGGATTTTAGTTTTTGTTGTTTTGTTCTGGACATTTCTCCACTTGGGTAGTCATTTTTCTACCCCTAACTATAACTGGAAGAACACATTGGCAACTACTTTTCCTCGTAAGTGGATTGGCACCATCACTGCCATTTAGGACAGTATAGAAAAAGAAAGGTTTTCAATTTATTAATAATAAACTGGGTCTTGGAGTTATTACTCTTTGGACTTAGAAAGGATGGACCTGTTCAGTTAACTCTCAAGAAGAGGGGTGTGGATGAGTGTGACCTCCAGATGGCAAAGAGATGGTTGAGGAGAGCAGTTTCAGAAGAGGAAATGAAACACACATGGAGCTGAGGGCCCTTGGCCTGGCAGGGGAAAAGGAATGCTAGGGCCTTGGTATTGGGAAGCCATTCTGGTCAGAGATTAGTGGCTGTGAAAAGCGTTCTCCCAGACTGGAACCAAACAACTGTTTTTTTTAGGGGAGCTAGGTCAGAGATCATCCCCCTGAGGCTCCCATTAACTGCTAGGAAGCTTTCTACCACGGAGTCCCAGAAAGCTCTTAGGCCTTGAGGCCAGAAAAAGATGACCAGTAGATAGTGCTGCTTCTGTTGCAGTAGAGTAGGAGGAGGACAAGCAGACGTGCACTGTCTGATGCAGGAGGCTGTGGGTGTCAACTAGTACTGTGTCTGAAGAAGCCTGGTCGTCCTGTGGGAAATCCATAGGTTTATGGGCCTTAATCCCAGTAGTGCCAGAGGCTCATCTTAGGGCTTTCCTGGTCTGGACTTTCCAATAATAATATTTGACCAGCATCACCAGATGGAGTGTATGGTCCTGGAAGATCATGTATGTGTATAAATGGACAGAATGTGGTCTCTACTTGCCAGAAAATATACAACCCAAGAAGGAAATTTTGTGACAAGTGGGGAAAACTGTGCTTTGGGCTTTGTAGATTTCAAGCTGCTTTATGGGTCTATAGAAAGCTGTAGATTCCTCATATTTTATTTTATTTTTTTTAATTCTAGGGCAATGGCTGATGAAAACCAGGATATGGGTGGCGTCCATTTCCCCTTTCCCTTCCCACCCTATCCTATCCAGAAGGACTTCATGGCGGAGCTCTACAAGGTTTTGGAGGCTGGCAAGATTGGGATATTTGAGAGTCCAACTGGCACGGTGAGGGAGGGAGGGAGGGAGGGTGGGAGGGAGGGAGGGAGGGAGGGAGGGAGGGAGGGTCACTAAGACAACGTGGAGGTCACCTTATTTACCTTGACACTTCTGTGCAGACATTGCCTTCCTTGAGAAGAAACTGGGCACAGGTGTCCTCAGTTTATCTTAACGCATAACGGTCACTTCCTCTATTAAACCATTGAGCACAGCACCACGGGCTGAGAAAAACCAGGCTAACGGCAGCCGAGACTTTAAAATTGCAATGCAAGCCGTAGCATCAGTGCTTTTGAGATTTCTCTGGCACACTGCAGCCTGGATGTTGAGGGACATAAACACGGGTGTGACTTTCCCCCAGGTTCAGCATGCTGTTTTAGAGTGTAGAATATAGGTTACTGAGTGTTGTTGGTAGGCAACCAAGGGGCCCTATGTTTTCCTTCCTGACCCAGATTGCGTGAGGGATGTATCTGAGGTGGGCTGTTGAGACTGAATAGGGCTGTGGTCCCCAGCTTCTTTCCAGTACTTTAGTGTATTACCTTGCATAGTGAGGACTATGGGATAGTGAGCCGTGTATTTTGGTCTGAAGACTCTCAGACTGTAGGCTTCAGCCTCCCAGATATAGGAACCTCTCTCTGGTCCCTGTTAACTGCATGCCTGCCGTCAGTGGAGCCTGGCAAGGTTGGCCTCCAGGAGGCTCTTCATATGGATTTCCTGAATGAACAAGTAAAAGACAGTGAATGATCCCTGCCCCGCTGTAAGGAAAATTGCATCTCCAGAACTGACACCCAGGATTCTGGGACAGAAAGTATGTCTCTTGGGGTACCAGTGGTTCCCAGCCTGTGGCATGCAATCCCTTTGGGGAGTAAGAATGACCCTTTCACAGGGGTAGCCTGTCCGCTATCCCACATATCAGATATTTACATTATGATTCATAACAATAGCAAAACTACAGTTTTAAAGTAGCAACAAAAATAATTTATGGTGTGGGGGGGTCAATACACATGAGGAACTGTATTAAAGGGTCACAGCATTAGGGAGGTTGAGAACCGCTGCTCTATAGGGTGAGTGGGAGCGTTTTCTGGGTGCCTAATGAAGACTGTTCTATGATGTAGGTGAACATTTGATCTGCAGCTTTTTATTTCTTTATTTTATTTTATTTTATTTTTGGAAGCAGGGTTTTTCTGTGTAATACTGGCTATTGTGGGACTCACTCTGTAGACCAGGCTGGCCTTGAACTCAAGAGATCCGCCTGCCTCTGCCTCCTGAGCACTGGGATTAAAGGCTTGCGCCACCTACATCAGGCTGGATCTGCAGCTTTTTAACAAGCTGCATTGGACCTTTTTTAGTATCGATAGTATTATTATTTTTATTCTTTCTACTTTATATCGATTGAGATCAAACCAGGGCCTCAAGCATACCAGTGGAGCGCTTTACCACACACTCACCTTCAGCCCTGTGGGACTTTAGTTGTCTTTGGCGTTTGTGTTAGAGTGCTTGCTATTAATGTTAGACGATAACTTGGGGCATACCCTTAGGAACTGCTGTTTAGTGGAGGCTGTGTAGGGGCTCTGTCCCTGGGCCACTGTTGCAGGCTGGTGTCTTGTCCAACAACATCTAAAGGTGGTATTTCTTTCCACAGTTAGGGCATGACCCCCCCCCACTCCCGCCTGGGCTCTTCTGGAGGAGTACTGCTTGGATTTCATTCCATTTAATGTTTTCTGGAAGTGGAAACAGTGTAATGGCATGTTCTTTAAGCTGTGTGATCTGTCTGTTCCTCAGAAGGTCATCCTATCAAGACCATTCAAAATATTAATGAAAGCTGATAGGTTCCACACATCGGGATAATGATATTCCATCATGGCTTGACAGTAGCACGTACTCAATTTCTTACTTTACCGTCAGCTACTTTTTTTTGGCTCCTGCGAATTAGCCTAACGCTTGTATGGGCTCCGTGAGTGGGTCTTACTTTTATCTGTCCCGTTTTTGCATATATATGGAAATGATCTTTTGAGAGTCAGCCCAGAGTCCCAGACTAGTAACATGATCACGGTCTAATCCAGGATCACAGGCAAGGAGAGTCTTAATTTATGGTACCTCCCAGGGTAGGTAGGTTTAGAACCCTGGTCTGGAGACTCTGAGCTGCCCCGGACTAGGTGGGCAGAGGATTCAGTAGACAGGAGGTTAGCTCTAACGATTCACATGGATCTTAGGAGGAGCAGCCTGGGGTTTCCTTTCTAGAACTGTGTCCTTTTCCTGGGGACTCGTGGTCTAGAGCACTGCAGATTGGGTGCATGGCAGGAATCCAGTATCTTACATGCTCGAGTTTCAGAGTCTGGAGTCAACATATTAGCTACTTTGGCTCATTCTGAAGGCTATGTGGGAAGGATATCCAGGCCCACTCCTTGACGTGTAGTGCCATCTTCTTCCTGTGTTTCTTTGTGGTGTTTTTCTTCTATGTATGTGTCCAACTAAATGTCTCTTTTTTTTTATTAAGATTTTTTTAATTAAAAATTTCTGCCTCCTCCCCGCCTCCCTTTTCTTCCCCCTCCCCCCATTCTCCATGCCCCTCCCCCCTCCCCCCTCCCTCTCCAGTCCAAAGAGCAGTCAGGGTTCTCTGCCCTGTGGGCAGTCCAAGGTCCTCCCTCCCCCCCCTTCCAGGTCTAGGTAAAACAATCTTATTTTAATACCAATCCCAGTTCCCTCTCCCTCCTGTTCTCTTGCTCCCCTTTCCTCCCCTACTAGCTCCCATCTACTCCTCAGAGAGGGTGAGGTCTCCCATGGGGAGTCAACAAAGTCTGTCACATCACTTGAGGCAGGAGCAAGACTCTTCCCCCGTATCTAGGCTGAGCAAGGTATCCCCCATTAGGGAATGGGCTCCAAAAGGCCAGTTCATACTCTTAGAATAAATACTGGTTCCACTGCTAGTAGCCCCACAAACTGCCCAAGCCACACAACTGTCACCCACATTCAGAGGGCCTAGTTTGGTCTTATGTAGGTTCCCCAGCTCTCAGTCTGGAGTCAGTGAGCTCCCACTAGTTCGAGTCAGCTGTTTCTGTGGGTTTCCCAATCATGATAAATGTCCCTTTTTCATAAGGTTCCCAGTCCTTGTAAGAATTAGGACCTACGTAAGAGCCTCATGTCCACTAATTGGACCCACTGTGATGTTTCCAGGTAAGTTCACATCCTGAGACACCAGAGTTAGGAATTAAGCACAGGGCGTGCATGCCAGCCTGTGAAAGGGACCATGGAAACTGTGATCGTCGTCAAGAAGAGTGTTTTGGACAGCAGTTGTCTCAACAGCAGCAACTCATGGGAATGATTATGTTGTGTCTGGACTTCAGTCGCCTTTAAAGCATAGAGTCAGATGTCGTCTTGGCAAGAATTTGGGATTTCATGCTCTGTATTTCTTGGCTAGTAATGTATTTTTCCCACCATTGTTTAGTTATATTAACTTGCAGTATTTGTAAGTGGAGAAAACACTCAAATTCTTTTGGAAGGTGGAGCTATGTGGTTTAAAAGCCGATCATTCTTGCTTCTTGGGCCAGGCTTTACACCCCCTTTCCTGTTTCTGTGGACTCTGTTACTAACTGCCTTCCTTGCTAGATGGTCTTAGAGCATCCTCATGCTTAGAACTGCAGCTTCTTATTATTACATGCGGAAAGCTGTCCGTCTGGGGAGCTTTGCGTCTGGCCTTGTTTAAGGTCATTGTTGTTCTTGCAGGGCAAGTCCTTAAGTCTCATTTGTGGGGCCCTCTCCTGGCTCCGTGACTTTGAAGAGAAGAGATTACAAGCAGAGGCTCGTCTCCTTGCACCTGGGTCTGGCCCCACGTGTGATGGGAAGAACTCGCTCATGTCTTCCTCATCTTGCCAAGAGCCCTCTGGCACCCCGAGGCCTGCTGGAGAACCCGATTGGATCACCGAATTTGTTCAGAAGAAAGAAGAAAGGGACCTGGTGGAGAGGCTGAAGGTGAGATTTGAGAGGGCTGAGAAAGGGACGTGATCAGGGAAACAAGCGTCATTGATTATTTTCAACTTACTACAAGATTGAGGAATGCCATATTCTTTGTGTTGGGGCCTCTCAGCCCTTCTGTGAACTGGCATGGCTATCGCTGTCTCTTTAGGAGGCGAGCAGGCCTTTTTCTTTATGGCTTACCTGGGTTTCATTTCTCACTTACCCGGCGAGGACTCAGTTGAAGAATGACTTTTGTTTGCTCTAGAGAAGGAGAGGATGCAGCCCCTTTGCACTGAGCAGCGGGGCCAGACCTGCAGAGACGGAGGCAGGGTGTGTGGCAAGGGCAGGAAGCCCCTCAGTAGACTCCTTGCCAAGAAAGGCCTGGGGTGCCCCTCCTGTAGGAGTCCTTCTGCTGTGTCCTTGTCCTTTAGGAGGAGCAGGCGAAGAGGAGGAAGCGGGAAGAACGTCTGCAGCAGGTCTGTCAGGATGGAAGGCTCAGATTTGCATCCAAGCGCATGGTGAGCATCATGTGGCGCGTGAAACAGCTCAACGCTGCCCGGGATTGAAGAGAGAGACCCGAGTGGCAGGCTACACCCCTTGCTCTGTTGGCCCTCTTCCCTTAGCCAACAACCAGGGATGTTAAGTGGTGGAGCATCCGAGTTGGGGAGAGGAGTTCTTGAGTTAGGTAGGGAGGCTCATGTTATGAGATGGATGTGGGCGCTCTGCCCTTGGCAACAGCAGTGCCCATGGCCAGCCCTTTCAGGGAGTCAGCTGGGAGCTCCAGGACTGAGGCTTCTTTTTGTATCCTTATTCCTCCCCAGAAACAGGAAGAGGAGGAGACCGAGACTCTCCTGCGCCTCAGCAGGGAGATGTTGGCTGTAGGGACAGGACCGGAACAGCTGGAGCAGCTGGAGTGTGGGGAGGAGGAGCTGGTTCTGGCAGAGTACGAGAGTGATGAGGAGAGAAGAGCCAGCAGCAGGTGAGACCACTGCTGCATGTCCGTCTCCAGCCCTGCTGGGCAGCTCTGCCCTCAGACCAGAGTGTCAGGCCGGAGATACTCTGAAGCACCCAGTGAGAGGGCCTGATAGTGGTTCTTGGCTCGTGTACATGACAGGTGGCATAGTAGGAGAAAACCACTTTGAGATGGGGGTGTCAGACCGGGCGGTGGTGGCGCATGGCTTCAATCCCAGTACCTGGGAGGCAGAGACCAGTGGATCTCTGTGAGTTCAAGGCCAGCCTGGTCTACAAGAGCTAGTTCCAGGATAGCCAGAGCTACATAGCGAAACCCTGTCTCGAAAAACAAAACAAACAAACAAAAAGATGGGGTGTCGCTATAATCGATGGTGGGGCACGGCAAAGCCCCAGCCGCACTCAGGAGGACAGGGAAGAGGCTTCAGTGTTTATGCTGGAGAGAGGTAATAGTTAAAGGCCCTGAGGTGACAGAGGAGTGGCCTCTGGGTGCAGAGGAAGCCTCCCAGGTCCTGGCCTCCGTTCACCTGTGTTTTCTAGGTTTCACAGACCTGAGCAGCAGTGGCGGCAGTGCTTGGGTGGGGTGTCCTGAGAGCAGGTCTTGGCAGTTCCCTGGGACGCGTCTGTGTTGTCTTCAAGGCTTGTCCCTCAGCTCTGCTGACATCTGAGTAAAGGGCCACCACCCTCCTGCTTGTCAGTGAGCACCCAGAGCACGTTACAGTGCATTTAGGTATCTAGCTGTCCTGAGTGTACCATGAAAACTCAGCTCTGTGTTTGTCTCTCTCTTAGAGTGGACGAGGATGAGGATGACTTGGAGGAAGAACATATAACCAAGGTGAGCTAAGCTGCCACCGACTCCTTGGATGCTTCTAGAGCGGGGAAAGGGGAGTTTCTAGGTCCGGGACTCATGGTTCTAGCAGTTTTGGCTCTGAGGTGTGTGCTTCCCAAATGTAGAGCGTTGCTTCTTGTTGCTCCCTTGACTAGCTAGGCTCTGAGGGGAAGCCTTGGAAGGAGCGGACACTGTGGGCCAGGGACTCACAGAATTCCCTTCTGCAGTGGGCAGTGGTGAGGGCAAGGGAGGAGCAAGCAAGTGTGCCCTCCTTATTCTTGGACTCTCGTGGCGTGGTTCTCTTCCTGCTTGTGTTTCACATTCGTGGAGTGTCATGAGCTATGTGTGGCATGACACCTCTCCGTTTTAAAAGACATGGTTCCATCTAAGCTGTGTCTCTTCTGTTGAAAGTTGGTGTCCTTCCCTGCATTTCTCTCTCCTCACGCGGCTGAATCCTCGAGCAGCCAGAATGTGCACCCGTGTACTCCACAGGGGTGAGGATCCAAACTCACTCTCCTAGGGTCCTCAGCTCCTATTTTGTGGTAGGACTCGAGGCCAAGTGTATGTTGAGAGAGTTGAGTCCTAGGAGCTGCTTGAACTCCTAGAGCACTGACAGGCCCTCCTCAGGCGGTACCTGACCTGAGCTGACTCGCCCGCCGTCAGCCTGGAAGAGTGCACGCGCGTAACCACTCCGCTTCCTCCCGCAGGACCTCAGGCCACTGTGAGCTATAACCCCCCTCTTTGAATCCCCTTGTTTTCCTCTCTTCAGATTTATTACTGCAGTCGGACACACTCACAGCTGGCCCAGTTTATACAGGAAGTACGGAAGAGCCCTTTCGGCAAGGAAACCCGGCTAGTCTCTCTTGGCTCTCGGCAGGTAAGCAAAGTGGGCAGGGCCAGCCCAGGCAGATTCCTTCTTCTGCCTTGTCTCTTGGCCTAGGCATAGGAAACTGGTGGAGTGAAGGCAAGGTGGGCATGGGAGCTCTGCTTCCTCGCTGGCCTTACTGTTCTTTAGAAGGTGCAGGAGAAGCCGCCTGGGTAGTGCATCCTTCCTGACTCTTTTAGTCAGCACCATTTCTGCTCTTTACCCTTAAAGGACACCCCTCTGTAGTCAGTATCAAAGATGTCGAGCTGACCTAAGGAACACTGAGAGCAGAGAAACAGTCTTTCCCAGGGAAGAGCACACCATTGGTTATCCAAGACCAAATGATCAGTCTGAAAACATAGTTATGGACCGAGAAGGCCATATTTAAGAATATATACATATACATATATGGGTGTAATATCAGTTAACGAAAAAAGAGGTCATGAATTTGGAAGAAATCAAAGAGCGCTTGCAGGGAGGAAGGGAAAGGGGAGAGACAATGTGATTATAATCTCAAAAAATAGAAATTACAAAACGTACTGCTGGTCATGTTTCTCGCATCCAGGTCCAGAGACCACAGCAAAGGACAGTATATTTTATTCAATAAACTGTTTCCTGAAAAAATCCATAGAAACCTCACCCTTTGAATGGGAAAGAAACAGAAAATCAGTACATTAAAAAAATTCAGGCGCGGTGGTGGCACACACCTTTAATTCCAGCACATGGGGAGGCAGAAGCAGGCAAATATCTGAGTTTGAGGCCAGCCTGGTCTACATAGTGAATTCTAGGACAGCCAGAGCTATAGTGAGACCCTGTCTCAAAAAAACATAAAAAAGCTGGGTGGTGGTAACATATGCCTTTACTCCCAGCACTTAGGAGGTAGAGGCAGGCGGATTGTTATGAGTTTGAGGCCTCTGGTCTACAGAGTGAGTTCCAGGACTGCCAGGGCTACACAGTGAAACCATGTCTCAAGAAAACAAAAAAGAAAAACCAAAACTCAAAACCAACCAACCAAATAGCCCCTCCCTCCAACCTCTCTTATCTAACTGGGGCCAGGACTCTAGCTGCTAAGAAGCAAGCTTCAAAAAACAAATATAAACGTGGGCTGGAGAGATGAGTCAGTGGATAAGAACCCTCGTTGCTCTTCCAGAGGACCCAGGCTCAATTTCTAGCATCTATATGGCGGCTAACAACCATCTGTAACTCTAGTTCCAGGGGATCGTATACTGTCCTCTAGCCTCCTTGGGGATCAGACACGCACGCACATGGTGCACAGACATACATGCAGGCAAAGCACCCCCCGCCCCCCAAACTAAGAGTAAATAAGTCAGCACTGACAGTAGAGAGCACGGCGGGGTGGCACATTTGAAGGCAGCGCCAGTCTCAAAAGGTGGTGAGTTTTATGTTGCTATACCTTGGGCACAAGCAAGTTTCTTTCATCCAGGAGGGTGGAAGAGAAATTCAGTGGTCACATGTGTATCGATGGTCCATTTTGTAAAGGAGAGGAAGCAGGTCAAGATGAGACAATATCTAGGATTGACTGAGGGGAGCTCGGTGGCCGAGGTTTAGCCCAGTGTGCCTGAAGGCCATCGCTTACTCTCTTCTCTCCTGTCTTGTAGAATCTTTGTGTGAATGAAGATGTGAAAAGCCTGGGTTCTGTGCAACTTATGAATGACCGCTGTGTGGACATGCAGAGAAGCAAACACGGTGCGCACGGGAGCGTGGGCTGCGTGGGGCAGAGTGGAAGTGGCAGCAATGTGGTGGGGTTGTAACAGGGCCATGGTGATGAAGACTGTGTTACCCAGAAATAATGGCCAAGCAGGCCCCAGTTCCTCCTCAGGTCCTCTCCTCAGGCAAGAGTGTTCATGCTTCCTGGGTCAGGGTGAAGGACCTGGCTCAGAGATGTTTGTGCCATCTCTTTATGGCAAATAAAAAGACAAGTTCCAGAGTGTTCTGCTGAGTCCACAGTCAGCAGCAAGGGAACATGTTCGAATGTCACTGCACCAATTCTGACCCAGAGCTCCTTCCTGTCCTTGCTTCCTTTCAACTCTCCCGCCACAGAGAAGAACGGAGCTGTGGAAGACAAGCCAAAGAGAAAGAGACGGAAAATCCAGACCTCTTGCCCCTTCCACAACCACGAGCAGATGCAGCTTCTCCGGGACGAGATTCTGCTGGAGGTAAAGGACATGGAGCAGCTTGTGGCCCTTGGGAAGGAGGCACGGGCCTGCCCCTATTACGGAAGCCGCTTCGCCATCCCTGCAGCCCAGGTGAGTGTGCTGGAGAAATGGGAAGTACTCCTTGTACTAACTGGGGCTTATAAAACAAGGGATTTTTTGTTTTGTTTTGTTTTTCAAGACATGGTTTCTCTTTTTAACAGCCATAGTTGTCTTGGAACTAACTCTTGTAGACCAGGCTGATCTCGAACTCCCTGCCTCTGCCTCCTGAATGCTGGGATTGAAAGTATGCACCACCATCGCCCAGCTTCTCATTCATCTTTTGTAGGTGAGGATGTCCTTACATAGGTTAGCTGACAACCGTGCAGCATCCCAAACTCACGACACAACGTTATCTTACCCAGAGCGTAGAGTCCTAAGAGGCCAGGAATCCTTGGTAGCTTGGGTTAGAGACCAGTTGGTGTTACTGAGCTCTCAGCAGCTAGGAGGGCAGGACGTGAACATCACCAAATAGCTTTGCAGGTGGACTGCAGACATACCCATCTGCCTGCATATGGCAATACTGTCCTGATTAGACCTGCCTTACCTTTATACACAGAGGAAGAACTGTTTACTTATTTATTTATTTCCTGATAGTCTCCTGCGGTTTGCTATTTGATGCTCTCCCTCCTTCCCTTAAATGTGTCACTCATAGGGAGATCTGTGTAATCTGGGAGACTTAAGTGGATTTCAGAAGAGAGCAGTTCTCAGTGATCATGTTTACAGCAAAGTGTTCACTCGTGGACGTTCCTGCTCTATGCAGGTGCTCACATCCAGTACAGACATCCCTGTTCTGTGTGGGTGCTCACACCCAGTACAGACATCCCTGCTCTGTGTGGATGCTCACACCCTCTGAGAACATCCCTGCTCTGTGCGGGTGCTCACACCCAGTACAGACATCCCTGCTCTGTGTGGATGCTCACACCCAGTACAGTCAGCCCTATTGTGTGTGGATACTCACATCCAGTACAGATACCCCTGTTCTGTGCGGGTGCTCACACCCAGTACAGACATCCCTGCTCTGTGTGGATGCTCACACCCAGTACAGTCAGCCCTATTGTGTGTGGATACTCACATCCAGTACAGATACCCCTGTTCTGTGTGGGTGCTCACACCCAGTACAGACATCCCTGCTCTGTGTGGGTGCTCACACCCAGTGCAGACAGCCCTGTCTGTGTGGATGCTCATACCCCGTGCAGTGCTCACTCATGGATGTCCCTGCTCTGTGTGGGTACTCATAGACAAACTGGTGTCTACAGATGTCTCATGAGTGAGTGCTGCCACCATTAAGTATGAAGACATGAAATTGTTGTGTTCTTGACATGTGTAAGCAGTTTTCACCTTATTTTCCTGTGTAAAAGCCCAGTGGAATAGCCCTATTCTCTCCATGAGAATATGGGCACAGAAAGATGATTTTTCTCTTGTCTGCGTTAAGTATGGTACCCATATTGGCACCTGGGCCTTGTGTTCCCAGTTTTCTGAGTTTCCATATTATCAGTATCTTTATGTGTGTGTTTGGTGGGTGCATGTGTATGTACACATGCCTGCGTGCAGGCCAGAGAGCAACTTTGGGTGTGGCAAGGCTAGTGGGTAAGTGAGGCTGTCCTTGCCTCCCTGCTGCTGGGATCTCAAGCGGCACCACCACCCCTGGCTTTTCCCCATGGGTTTGTGGCTTCAAGGAGAAGACTCTACCAACTGAGCAGTCTCCCTTGCTTATTTGTTGTCTTTTAAGTGGAAGAACCTTCACAGCAACATAGATCCACAGATTTGATTTTATATTCACCCTCAACTGGCAGTTGTCAGATTCACTTAGCTGATGAAAAACCAAGGGTCACGTCAATTAGACTTTGCCAGGGTCACAGAGCTGGGAAGTAGCAGCCCCAGGACCATAGGCTAATGTTGCATTCTGGTGCTCAGTGTGTTGAAGAAGTTTGGAGTCTGAGGGCTCTCTTGGGATCTTAGGTGAGGTTCACCCCCAATGACTCCACCCCTCCTCACCCTTCCAGATGATCAGCTCCAAGTTTAGTTCCTCACAGCTAAACATAGAACATCTGCAGGAAGGTCTGTAGGGGCAGGCAGAACACCGACCTGTGCTTTCTAGCTTGTATGCCCTGTGCAAGGTTGGACTAAGTGTAAGCGGAGACTGCTCATTTGTTTCTGGGCCTCCCAGACTCGAATAATCACACAGAAGCTTGTAATAATTACAACACTGCTTGGCCAACGACTTAGGTGTGTTCCTACCTGGCTCTTATATCTTAAATTAACCTATTCCTATTAATCTGTGTATCGCCACGAGGCTGTAGTCTACTGGATAAGGTTCTGGCATCTTTTTCCTTTGGCAGCTTCATGGCATGTCTCTGACTCCGCCTACTCTCTATATCTCTGTTTAGATTCCCCACCTGGCTATAGTCTGCCCTGCCATAGGCCAAAGTAGCTTCTTTAGTAACCAGTAGTAATAAATCATATTCAAGCATACAGAGGGAAATCCCACATCAAGTAAGAATTAGGACTTCAGTGACCTGGATCATTTACTGCAGGATAAGCCTTCTGCCATGTGCAAGACAGGTGAGTTTTAGTGTCTGACAGTAATCTTTCCCTACAGCTAGTGGTGCTACCCTACCCAATGCTGTTGCATGCAGCCACCCGACAGGCTGCAGGAATCAAACTGCAAGGCCAAGTGGTCATCATTGACGAGGCACACAACCTGATCGACACCATCACCAGCATCTACAGCACAGAGGTCAATGGTTCCCAGGTGGGCTAGCCTTTTCCACCCTGGGCAGTGACATAGGTCATTCCTTTAAACGTCTGGGCCAGGAATTCCTCTGGATGTGGGGCTTGGCAAAACTGAAACCCTGTCTTTTCTTGTTCCTTGGCAAGTGTGAGGCTCTTGGTACCTAGCTTGAACAGAGTGGCATCTTTTATCTTCAGCTGCCCTTCTTCCAGGATACTGCTGACTAGTTCTCTGTCAGTAGGATGGTGGCGGCAGGGACCAGGAGCCCCACAGGATTGCATCTTATCATTTTGATATTGCTTTGGGGGTCTTTATTGGAGGGATACCCGGGGTCTGCAGGCCCCTATTTATTGTCATTTGTTATGTGGCAAGCGTAGAAAAGGGTTCTGGGTGCCTCACATTTTTCTTTTGGGGTAGTAGCTCACCGTTTTAGCTTTGGAACCTTGGGACTCATAGAGGGCAAAATCATGTGTTGTACCCACTGCACAAACTGAGGTGAGGCAGGATTTGATCATGAAACCTATGTGATACCTGCCACCTGTTTGAATTTCCCTCTTCATGGAGTGAAGTCATCTCCCAACCCAGTTCCCCTGTGATATGTGATATTTAGGATCTTAGGCTTTGGCCTCTTCCCTTGCCCTCTCAGCGGTCATCAGCCCATAGTGTCTCCATGCTTTGCCCTTGTCTGTTTCTCTCCAGTTCTCATCACCTTGATGGTGTCCTGGCTGGCATTTCCTAGCCACAGACTAATGTCTCTCTGCAGAGATCTTCCTAACCATATCCTGGGATGCCTTCATGCTATCCTGTTTTCTCCCCAGCTCTGCCAGGCCCATTCCCAGTTGCTCCAGTACATGGAAAGATACGGGTAAGACACTAGCCCAAGGAAGGAGATCTGGCCATGCTCAGCCTCAGTGGTCTCCAGAACCCAAATGGAGGCTACTGTAGTGCCCAGGTCTTAGAGGAGTAGGTTGACTTGATCTGTCCTGGTGTATGTCCACATCCTAGGCTTTTGGGAACAGAGCAGCAGGCTCTGAAAGCCTTGGTCTTAGCCTTTTTATCTTCTGGAGGGTTTGTAGCTCCTAGCCCAGTGTGTCAGGCCCAGGCAGAAAGGCCCCATGGCATCTGGCGGAGAGACGCTGCTGCAGAATCCTGTGCTAACGCTGTCGCTACTTCCTCAGGAAGCGTTTGAAGGCCAAGAACCTAATGTACATCAAACAGATTCTGTACTTGCTGGAGAAGTTTGTGGCTGTTTTGGGAGGTAGGACTGTCATCCCTGGCTCACCCCCATCTCCATGTTGTGCTGGTCTTGTTCCTTGACTGCCAGTCAGGACCCTTGGGTGTCTTAAGCCCTTTCTCATCTTTGGTTTGGGATGTCCTCTCTAGCTTCACTGAGATGTTTGACCTCACTAGCGTTTTCATTGTTATCACTTTAGGCCCCAGTTTATTTATTTCTCCACATTTTACTTTAAGAATTCTGATTGTATGGTTATGCTGATCATACAGTGTAAAGCAAAACATATTGTGTGGCATAGTTTCAGCCACATGGTATACCAGCACTGGCATACAGGCAGTCCTATTTGCCCCTGTGTGGATAGAAACCTAGGAACTTTAAGCCTCTGTCACAGAGGAAGAACTAAAGCTCAGGGCGGGACCTGCCTGTGGCTCATGAGACTGGAGGCTGCTGACTCCGGTATCCAGGATTCTTGGGCTGTTCTGGGCTGGGACTGTTTCATTTTAGGGCAATGCTTTTAAAGGCTTCTGTAGGGTCAGGAAGCCATGGAGACTCTTCTGGAGAGATCTTGTCCTGTGTTAGCACTGTCCGCTTCCTTCTCTGCCTGTGTCACTGCTCCCTGTCTTCTGGAAGAGCCTGTTTTTTTTTTTTTCCTTGCTCTGCTCAGAGTGACAGTGGGGAGACTGCTTTGGTCCTGGCCCCTGCCTGGCCTTGGGTTCCATTTGAAATGTGTGAGTCCCATCTGCAAGGCTCCTGGAACTGCCTGTCCTCATAGTGTGTTCTTTGTCTGCTGTCAACGCCCCAAACAAACGGCTCTTGAAACGTGAATGTTCCTTGTAGTTGAGCAGAGAACTACCGTGACTGATTGGAATTCCCTCTTTTTAGGTAACACTAAACAAAATCCTAGTACACAGAGCCTGCTCCAGAAAGGTGAGGAGTTTTCTGCCGAGGGTGGGAGGGGGGTGATCTGAACCACTCAGACCTCCACTCTGGGACTGAGTCAGGGACTCGGCAAGGTGCAATACCGGGGTCTTTTGTTTGCTTGTAGGTTCTGAGCTGAAGAGCATCAACGACTTTCTCTTTCAGAGCCAGATAGACAACATCAACCTGTTCAAGGTAAAGGTCTATTCTGATTTAAGCACCTTCTGGTTTACTTAAGGTTGGGAAGGTGAGGTAGGGGTGGAGCACAGCTGATGAGCACTTGCCTGTAATGACAAGGCCTTGTGTTCTCACTCTAGCACATAATCAAAAATAAACATGGAAGAAATAAAATGCAAATCATTGTCATTGAATAGTCTATCGTCCAAGGACCAAAATCAGGAATAGGCAGTTACCAGGTCTTCAAGCTGGACAGCAACAGTCAAATGGGCTTCACTTGGGTTGGGAGTTGTAGAATTTGGCATGGGAGGTTGTTGCTGTTCTTTGCACTCCTAGGCACAAACCCAGCCTCCAGGTACTGTCCATCCCTTTCCACCTCTGTTCTGCTAGTTTTCTCCAGTGAATTGTTTTCAGAATATAGTCCGTGGTATAATGTTTGAGGTGGGCAGGGTGAGAACATAGTTGGGCCTGCCTGACCACTGTCTTCCTGCTGGAGCCTTGGCTGGGTGGCAGTCCCAGACCTTTGCTTATGTTGTATTTGCTATTTGGTGTTCCCTCGGGTGTTAGGTAGCTGTGTCACTAAACCATAACTTAGTGTGTCTAAATTAAGTACTACTGCCTCCAGGGATGAGACTGTTTTTGTTTGTTTGTTTGTTTATTGGCTTTTTGAGACAGAGTTTCTGTGTAGCTTTGGAGCCCATCCTGGAACTAGCTCTTGTAGACCAGGCTGGCCTTGAACTCACAGAGAACAGCGAGCCTCTGCTTCCCTAGTGCTGGGATTAAAGGCTGTGTGCCACCAACACCCAGCGGATGCTGTCTTCTTGTTCTGAGCATTATGCCTGGACATACTTTGGCCATTTAAGAACCTGGCTTAGAGTAGTTGCTCAAGGGTGACTGGCCCAAGCTACACACCAGTGAACCAAGCGTGGATGGATGGAAGGGGGCCAATGTTCAAATGCAGCTAGACCCATCCTAGATCTGATTCTCTCCCTGCTTGTCTTTCATTTTCTTTTTCTTTATTTTTAAGGCGTATTTATTTATTATGTATATAGTGTTCTGCCTGTATGTCTACCTGCATGCCAGAAGAGGGCACCAGATCTTACTACACCATGTGTTTGCTGGAAATTGAAGTCAGGACCTCTGGAACAGCAGCCAGTACTTTTAACCTCTGAGCCCTCTCTCCAGCCCTCAAAGACAATTTGTTTGTTTGTTTGTTTTTCCTCAAGACTGGGTTTCTCTGTGTAGCCTTGACTGTCCTGAAACTCAAACTGACTCAGAGATCTGCGTGCTTCTTGCCTGGGATTGAAGGCGTGCCACCACCTCCGGGCTGCCTTCCATTTTCACATCATCTGTCTTTAGACTAACGCCTTGGTCATTGTCACTACTGTGATCCTGTCAATCGTCTTTGGAACCTTTCTCCCGTGCGTTCAAATCTCAACAGTTGACTTGCCCCTGTTCTTGAGTTATTGCAGCTTCCACAGCTAGGACCCTTGCTGCAGGCTTCTTTCTCCAGCTTGCCTCAGGCCTTTCCCTTTTCCCTCTGGAGGCTGACAGAAGCAGTCTAACCAGATGCTGGTCTCTGTAGCAATTTTTCTAATTCCCACTGTTGATGATGTCAACATCTACAAACTGAATATAGCAGGGAAACTACATCTTGGCCTTCCCTGGGACGGACCCAGATCTTACCTCCTTCTTGCTTTTGTACAAAGGATTGGATTCTTTTTTAAAGATTTGCCTTTTTATGTGTGTGCCATGTGTATATGCACACACTCATGTTTTGAATTTAGGTGTGCATGTGCCGTGTGTGTATGTGATGGGGGGGGGAGAGAGAGATATTAGAGAATAATTTTCCTTGAGAAAGAGAGAGGGGGGTGGAGAGAGATTAGAGAACAATTTCCCTTGTTGGTCCTTGCCCTCTACCCTCTTTGAGGCATGTCTCTTTATTGTTTTTCCACTGGGGATGCCAGGCAAGCTGACTCACAGACTTCTGGGGTGTCTCTTGTCTTTGTGTCCCATTTCTCCATAAGAACACTGAGATTATAGACACTCACTTTGTTGTCTCTGGCTTTTATGTGTTCTCTGAGTCTTCCAGCTTAGGGTTTCATGGTTATGCGGCAAGCTTGTGAGCCATCTTCACAGCCCTTAGGATTGTTTTTAAATTATCTCTTGTTTCTTTAAGGCCCACTCTGCATCTGGAAGAAGGAAACAGCATACAGTTGTTGTCTTCTTTTTGAAGTTGTTTATTTTTTATTTTATATGTGTGGGTGTTTTGCCTGCATGTATGTCTGTGTACCACGTGTGTGCCTCCATGGTGCCCAAGGAGGTCATGAGAAGGCATCAGATCCACCATAACTGATATTACAGATGGCTACGAGCCATCATGTAGGTTCCAGGTCTTCTGGAAGAGCAACCAGTGCTCTTACTGGCTGAGCCAACCTTCCCACCCAGATCTTACCCTGTACCCTTAGAGCCACGAGAGCAGTGGAGATATTGTGAGGAGGCTAGGGTTGGGAGGAACCCTGAGTTTTTATGGGAAGTAGAACAGTGACCTCAGGAAGCAGACCAGTAAGATTTCTTGTGGTGTGTTGGCTCCTCTGAGGTGCCAGTGAGCCACCTTCCCTTAGTGGTGTGGCGTGGCTATGTCTTCAAAGTTCAGACCACAGTTTGCTTCCTTCTCACGGGCTCGTGCTGGTTTTGCAGGTGCAGCGGTATTTGGAGAAGAGCATGATCAGCAGGAAGGTACCTTTCCCATTGTCCTGGCAAGGAGCCCGAGTACCCCTGCCTGCCTTACTCTGCTGTCCTGGGAACTCAAGGCCTCTGGTTCTCCTGCCCATAGTGTGGAGTGATTTCTGGCTTGGGAGGAAGTGGACTGCAGACTGGCTTGGTGTCTCATCCAGGGCTGCTTCTCATTCTCTGTGTCCTCCTGCTCTCTCCACACGTAGCTGTTTGGCTTCACAGAACGCTTTGGGGTTGTTCTTCCATCCGTCTCAGCCTCTCAGGAGAACCGCAGTCTGGATGGCTTCCAGCACTTCCTGAAGAGCCTGCAGTCAGGGCCTACCGAGGGTGAGTTAGGAGGGTGAGAGAGAGGAGCCAGGCACAGGCCCTTGGAAACAGCATAGACTTGACCTAAGGAAGGCCTTTTCCCCCATCCTTCCCTTGTCTGCAGACTCCCTGGAGGAGGACCAGGCCACAGCCCCTCGGCCTGCCTCCCCTCTGATGCACATTGAGGCCTTTCTGGCAGCTCTCACCACTGCCAACCAGGATGGCAGGGTTATCCTGAACCGGCAAGGTAATCGGCTGCTTGTGGCAAAGGGGCCTAGTACTGATGGCAAGACAAATGAGTTATTTCTTAAAGGAAAGTGCTAACTCACTGGCCTCCGTGGATCAACTGGGGTTTCCTATGCCTAATTTACTCCTCTCTTTCCCTTTTGTCTGTCTGTCTTCCAGGCAATGTTGGTCAAAGCAGCCTCAAATTCTTGCTCTTGAATCCAGCTGTGCACTTTGCCCAGGTGGTGAAGGAATGCCGAGCAGTGGTCATTGCAGGCGGCACCATGCAACCGGTAAGGCACCAAGACACTTGTCAGCTCTCTTCTGTCCCCTGGAGCTCTGAAGAGACGTGGGCTAGCATTGCAGACCCAGCAGTGCCCACTAGTGCCGCTGCCCTGGCCTGGTGGGGCAGTAGCACTCTGGCTCTTGGCCGTCTGCAGCCCCAGAAGCAGGCTTCTCTGAGAACAAGCCCCCTGTGGTCCCAGACTCTCGCTTAGATACCTCCCTCTCTTCCCCTCCTGTACCAGCACCTCTTAGAAAGTCGCTGCATGTATGTTTTTAGATTAGATACATAGTTTTATTATAGAAATTAAAGACAAGCTGTAGACGTCAGGATTCTACCAATGAAAGATTCATGCTAGTATATGGAGCATATGTATGTACATACATACATTTTGCATATGTACATATTTTTTTTAAAACCACATTTCTACATTAGTGGTATAATTTACTTTTTCTCTCTGCAATAAAATGTTAATATCATCCTTGTCAGCAAATAACTGTTGTAGCACATTCTATCCTGTCTCATTCTAACCACATGGATAATGCCACATTTCTCCATATTCTAACCACGTAGATAATGCCACATTTCTCCATATTCTAACCACGTAGATAATGCCACATTTCTCCATATTCTAACCACGTAGATAATGCCACATTTCTCCATATTCTAACCACGTAGATAATGCCACATTTCTCCATATTCTAACCACGTAGATAATGCCACATTTCTCCATATTCTAACCACGTAGATAATGCCACATTTCTCCATATTCTACCATGCTGCATTCTAACCATGTAGATAATACCACATTTCACTGTATTCTGCCCACACCACATAGGAAATTTCACATTTCACCATATTCTTCTCACACAACGCCTGCTTTGATTTTACTTAGACCATTTTCCCATTGTGCCTGTTTTTCACAGTTCTGTGATCCGTGCAGACAGCAAATGTAAGGATCGTTTGCATCTTTTATCCTGAGCACACTCGGGGTTTAGACTGCTGGGCTCCTAAGCACAGGTCCCTGCCTTGGCTGCCTACTTGAATGGCCTTTCTGTTTTGTTTTCCCTGTATTCCTGCTGATGGACCTCAGAACCATTAGTCAAGGCACATTCCAAGCCCACATAGGTGTTTGTTTTGTTTTTGGTTTGCGGTGTGTATACAGATTTGTACATTTGTATTGTGATGCATGGTCATGTTGTTCTGGTGTGTGTGTGTGTGTGTGTGTGAGAGAGAGAGAGAGAGAGAGAGAGAGAGAGAGAGAGAGAGAGAGAGAGAGTCTCACCATGTAGTCTTTGTGTTTGTTTGTTTTGAGACAGGGTCTCTACATAGTCCTGGCATGCACATTGTAGATTAGGCTGGCCTCAAATTCACAGAAATCCACACATTTTTGCGTCTCAAGATCTGAGATTAAAGGCGTGCACCATCATGACCAACTCATACTGTGTAGTCTTAAAGAATTATTTTGACTAGAGTGACAGAGTGTTGTTAGTCACCAAGTGGGTGCTGGAGCCAAACCCAGGTCCTGTGCAAGAGCATTGAGGGCTCTTAATCACATATCTTCCCCCCCCATTTTTAATTTTTTTTATTGATTTTATTGAGCTATATATTTTTCTCCACTCCCCTCCCTTCCTCCCTACTCCCCTTCAGTCCTCTCCCAAGGTCCCCATGCTCCCAGAGATCTTGTTTTTTTTTCTACTTCCTATGTAGGTTAGATCCATGTATGTCTCTCTTAGGGTCCTCATTGTTGTCTAGGTTCTCTGGGATTGTGATTTGTAGGCTGTTTTTTTTTTTATGTTTAAAAGCCACCTTATGAATGAGTCCATATGATATTTGTCTTTCTGAGTCTGGGTTACCTCACTCAAAATGATGTTTTCTAGCTCCATCCATTTGTCTGCAAAATTCAAGATGTCATTTTTTTTTTTTCTGCTGTGTAGCACTCCATTGTGTAAATGAACCACATTTTCCTTATCCATTCTTCGGTCAAGGGGCATTAGGTTGTTTCCAGGTTCTGGAATGCTGCCATGAACAAGGTTGAGTACATGTCTTTGTGGCACAATTGAGCATCCTTTGGATATATACCCAAAAGTGGTATTACTGGGTCTTGAGGAAGGTTGTTTTCTCATTTTCTGAGAAATCGCCACACTGACATCCAAATGGGCTATCCAGCTTGCATTCCCACCAGCAACGCAGAAATGTTCCCTTTTCCCCACATCCTCTCCAGCATAAGTTGTCATCAGTGTTTTTGATCTTGGCCATTCTTACAGGTGTAAGATGGAATCTCAAGAGTTGTTTTGATTTGCATTTCTCTGATGACTAAGGTTGTTAAACATTTCCCTAAGTGTCTTTCAGCCATTTTAGATTCCTCTGTTGAGAGTTCTCTGTTTAGGTCTGTACTCCATTTTTATTTATTTATTTTTTATTGGATTATGTGATCTTCTGGTGTCCAACTTCTTGAGTTCTTTATATATTTTGGAGATCAGCCCTCTATCTGATGTGGGGTTAGTGAATATCTTTTCCCAATCTGTAGGCTGTCGTTTTGTCTTGCTGACCGTGTCCTTTGCTTTAGAGAAGCTTTGCAATTTCAGGAGGTCCATTTATTAATTGTTTCTCTCACTGTCTGTGCTGCTGGTGTTGTATTTAGGAAGTGGTTTCCTGTGCCAATGTGTTCAAGTGTACTTCCCACTTTTTCTTCTATAAGGTTCAGAGTGGCTGGCTTTATGTTGAGGTCTTTGATCCATTTAGATTTGAGTTTTGTGCATGGTGATAGATATGGGTCTATTTTCATTCTTCTACATGTTGATATCCAGTTATGCCAGCACCACTTGTTAAATATGCTTTCTTTTTTCCATTTGATATTTTTTGCTTCTTTATCAAAGATCACGTTTTGAAAGATGTGTGGATTGATATCCAGGTCTTTTGTTGTTGTTGTTGTTTCATATTGAAATCTTTTTTTTTTAAATTTTTTATTTTTTTTCCATTCAAAAATTTACACTTCCTCCCCTCCTCCCATCGCCCTCCCGCTCCCCCACTCACACCCTTCTCCTTCCCCCTCCCTCCCCCTCCCTCCTTAAGAGAGGGCAGGGAACCTTGCCCTGTGGGAAGTCCAAGGCCCTCCCCCCTACATCCAGGCCTGGGAAGCTTTGCATCCAAATAGACTAGGGTTCCAAAAAGCCAGTACATGCAGTAGAAACAAGTCCCAGTACCTTTATCAATGGCTTCTCAGTCAGCCCCCATTGTCAGCCACATTCAGAGAGTCCAGTTTGATTGCATGCTCATTCAGTCCCTGTCCAGCTGGATTTGATGAGCTCCCATTAGAACAGGCACACTGTTTCAGTGAGTGGACCAATCCCTCACCATCCAGACTTCCTTGCTCATCTCCCTCCTTCTGCTCTTCAACTGGACCTTGGGAGCTGAGTCCGTTGCTCTGATGAGGGTCTCTGTCAATGGAAGAATGGATAAATGTAGTAAGAGGAGCGGCGGAGCTGCGTCCCCAGCACCCCAGCCGCCTGCTAGCTTATGCCCGAACTAACAACACACAAACTGTATTCATTTAAAGACTGCTTGGCCCATTTCTATCTAGCCTCTTCTAGGCTAATTCTCGCACCTGGACTAGCCCATTTCTAATAATGTGTGTAAGCACCCCAAGGTGCGCTTACCGGGAAGATTCTAGCCTACGTCCATCCTGGGTCGAAGCTTCATTGCGTATGCCCAGGAGAGCGAAGCAGGGCCTCTGCTCCAGAGAGCAGAGCTGTCGGGTCTTAGCTCACTTCCTCTTCCTCCCAGCATTCCATTTAGTTTACTCCTCCCCTCTTCCTCCTGTTTACTCCTCCCACCTATGTTTTAACCTATCAGGGCAAGCAGTTTCTTTATTTAATTAACCAATGAAATCAACAGATTGATATATGACACTCCCACATCAGATAAAGAAAGTGTGGAATATATACACATTAGAGTACTACTCAGCAGTAAAAAATAATGACATTTTTAATTTTGCATGGAAATGGATGGAAATAGAAAACACTATCCTGAGTGAGATAACCTAGACCCAAAAAGATGAATATGGTATGTACTTACTCATAAGTGGATTCTTAAGCCTATAGTTCGCAAGCCTAGAGAAGTCAAATAACAAGGTGAACCCAAAGAAAAACATATATAGATCCTCCTGGAAATTGGAAGCAAACAAGATTGCCGGGCAAAAGTTGGGAGCATAGAGGTAGGGGTGGGGGTGGGAATGGGGGAAGGGGAGAGGGAGAGAGAGAAGGGAGAAAGACTGGAGAGAGCTTGGGGGGCGTGTGAGGTTAGAGATGGAGGAAGGGCGGATATAGGAGCAGGGAAGAAGATATCTACATTAAGGGAGCCATTTTAGGGTTGGCAAGAGACTTGGTTCTAGAGGGGATCCCAGGTGTCCACAGGGATGTCCCCAGCTAGGTCCTTGGGCAGCAGAGCAGAGGGTGCCTGAACTGGCCTTGCCCCACTATCACACTGATGATTATCTCTAATATCACCATAGAATCTTCATCTGGCGACAGATGGAGATAGATATCTGGGTCTTCTATTCGGTTCCATCAAGTCCATTTTGTACTAGCAGTGAGTCTTGGTAGTAAGTCCTGCCTTGGTGTGTGGTTGGCGTACTAGGGAGTCACATCACTAAAGAGACCTGACCTTCCCTCTCCCGGCATTTGTCAAAGGCCACTCGTTCCTCCTCCATGCTGTGATTCTGCCTGGCTTGAGCTTGCCCCTGTCTCAGTCTGTCACAATCACGGTGACATATTTAACCGGCTCTGTTGTGTCCTGAAGCAGTTTCGTGATGCTGTCTCCCACCTCTGGCTCTTAACAGTCACTTCTTCCTGAGGATCCCTAAGTCTTGAGTGTTCTGTTTTCTTGACTATCACTCGGTTAGGATAAGGTAGGAATCTTAATGCAGTTTTGGTTTTTATTTCTCTGGTAGCTAGTAAGTTTAGACATTTTATTCATACATTTTTGGCCATTCCTTTTTCTGGTTTTGAGAACTCTTCATTTTTTCAGTCCCATTTCCTGACTGGGTTGTTTGATTTCTTGTTTCATTTTTTTTTTTGAGTTCTTTGTATGTTATAGTTAGTATTGTACACTGTTGATTTTGATGCATAGAAAGGGCCTGGAATCAAATGTGCCAACTTCCTTTGCTGTTCTTTTTGAGTTTTCTGTCAACAGTGGATGCGTTACTGGTTGTTTCAGCTGAAGGCCATCGGCCTTTCTTTGTGCTTCCTCTACTTGTTACCACCGATCCCAGACTTTCCCTTACATGCACCGCAGTGCACATGGCCCCCCAAGCTCTGCGGTCACAAGACCCTGATGTTTTGGTTGCAGGTGTCTGACTTTCGGGAGCAGCTGCTGGCATGTTCTGGAGTGGAAACTGACCGGGTGGTGGAGTTCTCCTGTGGTAAGGAACCGTGGGGAGGGTAGAACAGGCCAAGAAACTCTGATGTCTTGATTTAGTTACCCTTAGATTTCTGTTTCTAGTTGGGGAAATGATCTGAGAAATTGCCCTACCTGGACACTGGTTTTCAGCCCTCTTTTGGTATCGCCAGGTCATGTGATCCCTCCAGACAACATCTTGCCCCTTATTATATGCAGTGGGCCCTCTAACCAACAGCTGGAATTCACCTACCAGAGAAGAGAGCTGCCTCAGATGGTTAGTGCCAGCCCACGTCCCATCCTCTCTGGTGTGTGGTCAAGGAGAGAATTCTTCAGTGCTGGCATTGGGGCAGATGGTCATATATGGCACAGGCAGATTCATTGTTTTAGATATTTTAGATATTTATCAAGGAAGACCTTGGCTGCCTTCCTCTCCTTAGACTACTAAATGTTTTCTAAAGAGCTCCCAGCATCCCATTAATGTAGGATGGAGGAAGGCTGACCATATTGGGGGGGTTCTTGCTCCTTGCCTCTACAGCGGGAAGGATGCATTTCTTGGGCACAGTTCCTGTAGCATCTCAATGTTAATTCGTTCTGGACAGTGCCCTCATGGCATTGGAACTTAGGGAGAGCACAGTGGCATACCAAAAGTCTAGTTCAATCCTGGGGTGCCAGCGATGGGATGTGTCATAACGGCACGCAGTCACCAGAATCCCCAGTTGGGCATGATCTGGTAAGAGTAAGTAGGGCATTCCACACTGTAGAAGGGGAGCTGCTTGGGTGTGGCCATGGCACCTGTTCCCAGCCAGCTCTTTGTCTGCCTTCTGCAGATGGAGGAGACGGGCCGCATCCTCTGTAACTTGTGCAACGTGGTCCCTGGAGGGGTGGTATGCTTCTTCCCTTCCTATGAGTACCTGCGTCAGGTGCATGCTCACTGGGACAAGACTGGCCTGCTGGCACGTTTGTCTGTCAAGAAAAAGGTGAGTGCCCCGTAGCCTGTTTATGAGGACATTGCTACCCGTCACTCTTCCTAGGATTCCTTAATCTTGTGGACTTGGCATGGTCCAGATTTTCACAGCTTCTAAAATCTACCAAGTCTAGACCTGGGACACTGGCCATGGGGATTCCCCAAAACTTGATTACATATTCCATCCTCAGGCTTCAAAACCAAGACAGGCTCAAGCCTCAGTCTTTTGAAGTCCTTTTGCTGTGTGGCCTTTTTCCTTTAGATTTTCCAAGAGCCCAAGAAAGCAAGCCAGGTGGAGCAGGTGCTGATGGCGTATTCCAAGTGCATCTCGGTGAGAGGAAGTGGGGCTGGATCCAGAAGCCCTCTGTGCCTGACAGCTGGGGACAGATGTGAGGCTCCCAGGTCTGGCTCAGCAGCACTGGTGTGGCTCTCCCCTCACAGTGCTGCAGTCAGGAAGGAGGCCATTTGACAGGAGCTTTGCTCCTCTCTGTGGTTGGAGGGAAGATGAGTGAAGGGATCAACTTCTCTGATGACCTGGGCCGGTAGGTGTGCTGTCCTCTACTCTGCTGGGGCTGAGGGCCCTGGACCCTTCCCGCCGAGTCACACCATAGGGTCGGTACCCGTGTGGCCTGCTTGGGGTCTGCAGGCTGTGGGTGGAGTGTGTGAAAGCCCTCTCCATCTGGCTTAGTAGAACAGAGAAGTGGGCAGCCATGACTTTGAACACAGTTGGTTCAAAATAGCAGTTAGCTGATCTCATGTGGATGGTGTCCCCATCCATGATTGTTTGCCACTTACGCCATGGGCCGTGTGACCCACTACAGGTGTGTGGTGATGGTGGGGATGCCATACCCCAACATTAAGTCTGCAGAGCTGCAAGAGAAGATGGCCTACTTGAATCAGATCATTGTGAGTATCTGCCGTGTTTCAGACGGTGAAAGGAAGGGGCAAGGAGGAAGTGGAGTAGAAACCCCGAGGACTGGATGGCATGCATGGTGCAGATGTTTTGTTCCTCCTTAGAGGCTTTGGAGTACACCTCTGGCCCCCTGATCTCTATAAATATCCTGTAGCACAAGTTTTTGGCTAAGACCCTTGAAACCTGGCCTTGCTGCAAAGCCTGTGTACCAGGCAGGCAAGAGTAGATTATTCTGATCTTCCATTTTCTTTTTCTTTTTTTCTTCTTAGCCTAGGATACAAGGTCAGGCACCCCCAGGAAAGGTGTTGGTGGAGAATCTGTGTATGAAGGCTGTAAACCAGTCCATAGGTAAGTCTGGGGCTGCTGCTAAGGCAGATGGATGGGTCAAGGAAGGAAGGATTTTACTGCTTAGTGTCCATTTGAGGAGCAAATGAGGGAGGCGATCCCAATGGACATGCAGTATTGGTAGGCAAGTTAACTCAGGAGCCCCAACCTGGCTGGCCAGTGGTGGCACACACCTCTAATCCCAGCACTCGTGAGGCAGAGGCAGGTGGATGGATCTCTGTGAGTTCGAAGCCAGCCTGAACTACGAAGCAAGTTCCAGGCAGCCAGAGCTGTTACACAGAGAAACCCTGTATTGAAAAACAAGAGAGTCCTAATCTTTGTGTCTACCTAGGCAGGGCCATTAGGCACCAGAGAGACTTTGCCAGTATTGTGCTCCTGGATCACCGGTATGCCCGCCCTTCTGTCCTGGCGAAGCTGCCAGCCTGGATACGAGACCGTGTGGAGGTCAAAGCCACCTTTGGCCCTGCCTTTGCTGCTATGCGGAAGGTTAGCTTTGTTCCCTGTGCCCCAGCCCTCCCAGCCTGAAATGTAGCTTCTCATGGTCTTTTTCTCCCTGCAGTTTCATCGGGAGAAATCACTTCCCGGTCTGGTATAGGCTCCTCTTTTATTCTCCCTCCTTGACCTGACCTGACCTTTGTGTTTCACCTGAGATGGTCAAAAGCAGACACAACCTGTGAAGTCTACACCAACCTTTCAGAGGCAGTGGATTCCAGTGTTGTGACTTACACAGAAAAGCCACCAGGACAAATCAAATTCACCCTGAAGGAACATGGCCCAGAACCTCATTGTCAGGCGCCACATTCCCTGAGACTGATTCTTCCCATGGCGCCTGGCTCAGCTTCAGTTTTTTGTCTGGCTTCAGGAGGCTGTGCAAGCAGCTGCTCTCTGCCCTTTTTTGAGGCAAGGCCCACCCTGCCTTCATCCTTTTTAGGGACAGTGAGTTGTTCTTGGCGTTTGGCTCCAGTTTCAGCCACAGACATCCCTATTCCGGGCCCTGCTGTCTGCAGGGCTTCCACATTCAGGCTGCGTTGACTGTGGCTCCGGGAGGAGGTGGATCTCTCTTGCTTAGCTGCTGCTCCTTCCTCAAGCCAAGGAGACCTCTTCTCTTCAGCCACCAATTCCACCACACCTACCATGGCCTCAGGTGTAATGCTAGGACCACTAGACTCTTGCTGTGACTACATTTAAAGCCCCTCCGTCACCAGAGCAATTTTGGCTATGGAGAAATATAAATGCCATCCCTCGCTCTGCAGTAGTTGCCCCAACTCACCGCTTTTTTGAATCCAGAAAAAAATGTTCTACTCCCTCAGACATTCTTTCTCATTGCTGAGACAACCGGGTCAGGAGGACAGCTCACGGTCTGCTGAGCCATCTGCATCTGGCAAGGCCACCCTTCCCTTACTAAATAAAGGGCACTGTTCACCTGGGTAGTTACCATTCTTTTTATGGTGAGTCGCTGTTTTCTCAGTCCTAACAAAAGCAAGCAAAGTACCCTAGGGGCGGCGCAGGTAGACAGTGGACCTGGCACATGGTACACACAACCCCTGACCATGGAAAGGGGTGAGGCAAGACGAGGGACAGTTGTTCAGCCACTCGGCCCTCTATAGACTACTGGAGCTTAGTGGTCCACTTGCCCAGGAGCCTCTCAGGGCTGTTTGTGCTGGAGTGAATAAGGAGGGCCCTGTGCTGCCCAGGGGTTGCTTGTCTACAATTAACATCATGTCTTTGTTGGTCAGAATATACAATTGGGTCATAGATTTAAATGTTTGGCCGTACTGGTTGTCAGTGATGCTTCCTAAATCCATTTGGCTTTGTTTGAAGTGAGAGACAGGAAAAACTGAACCTGTATCTGGGACCCCGGTGTCAATCTGAGGAAAAACATTCTTTGTGAAGCAGCCAAGGTTCCCAGGAGGATGGTCATTTTGGGGGTGCTCATTTAGGAATCTTAGCTATCAAAATTGGGGAAACTCTTAATATGGGGGATTCTTTACTTAGGGATTTCTTTCCAGTCCTTTGTGGATCCCTCCATTGCTGAGACAGTCATAGCTGGAATCCAAGTTTCTAATCTGCACTTTGGGGTGAGGTCTAGATGATCTCAGAGAAGAGCATTTGAACAAAGGGCACCTCTCACCATCTCCCTCCTCCCTGTGCACAGGGCATCTCTCACCATCTCCCTCCTCCCTGTGCACAGGGCATCTCTCACCATCTCCCTCCCTGTACACAGGGCACCTCTCACCATCTCCCTCCTCCCTCCCTGTGCACAGGGCATCTCTCATTATCTCCCTCCTCCCTGTACACAGGGCATCTCTCACCATCTCTCTCCCTGTGCACAGGGCATCTCTCACCATCTCTCTCCCTGTACACAGAGCATCTCTCACCATCTCCCTCCTCCCTGTACACAGGGCATCTCTCACCAACTTTCTACCTTTCTGCCTGTACAAAAAGCCCAACTGGAACACAGCTTCTCTGGGGGCCCACATCTGACTCAACATCTCTTAAGAAGTATTCTGATTAGGACAGGGTGCTGTAAAAGTGGGAACCTTCTGTCTAAGTACTTAGCAGTAGAACTTTTCCCTATTTCTTTAGGATGGGAGGATAAGGGAGTGTCAGATTGGATCTTAGTGATACCTGTGTGCAGAGATTAGGTATTCCCCGGAATCTTTAAGTTCTCTAATTCTACATAGCAAACTAGGGAAGTTTAATGGTGAGAAGATGGGTAATTGAAAAGCATTAAAATAGGAAGAAGGGGTGGGAAGCAACCAATAAATTGTGAATATTGCCATGCATTAAACATTTTACAGTGTTGTGGAATATTAAAGATGTGTTATTTATTTATGTTATAGAGTATTTGTTTAATGATGCAAGGATGTGTTGTATTCTTTTATGTTGCATTCATGTAGCTCTGTAAAACTGGGTTACTTTGCTTGCCTAAAACACCTGATGTCTAATAAAAAGCTGAATGGCCAAAAGCTAGGCAGGAGAAAGGATAGGCAGGACTGGCATGCAGAGAGAAAAAATAGGAGGAGAAATCTAGGCTCAAGAGAAGGAGGAACGAGAAAAAGACAAGAATAAGAGTTTTCCAGAGGCCAGCTGCACAGCCAACCATAGAGTAAGAAAGAAAAGAAGATATGTAGATTGAAGAAAGATAAAAAGTCCAGAGGCAAGAGGTAGTTAAAGAGAAACAGGATAATTTAAGTTAGAAAAGCTGGCTAGAAACAAGCTAAGCCAAAGACAATATGGGTTGTTTTTATTGTCTTATTTAATTAATCTGTCACTAAAACTGTCTTAGCATTAGGTATTGGATGCTGATACTACAGAAGTTAAATAACTGCTGGCTGGGGACACAGCTCCCTGAGCTTGATCTCCGACAGAAAGCCATTGGGGGTTTTAACCCATTGGGGGTGGTAAGGAGTGGAAACATTAGTTACTCCAAGAAGAAAACCATGGATTTAATGTCGGAGCCTGCTCCAATTGAAGGCAAAGGCGTAAGTCACAAACAATCCCACACCAGTTTGGAATTATGATTAATAGAATGGTTATTTATTTAAAGGGGAAAAAACTTACAGATCACCGTCCCAGACAACAGCCCTCTGCGCAATCAGGAAGGGAGTCTAGTTGCAGGAAGCGGAGCAGGAAGTAAGAGAGAGCGTGGAGGGAAGTGGCAGCTTTTTTAAAGAGAGAGACCATGCCCCAATGGGCTGGTATCTCAGTGGCTATTGGCTGGAGGAGCGGAAGGACCTCCCGCAACATCCAGTGAATCATCCTGGGTGCCTGGAGGTGTGTGTGTGTGTGGGGGGTGCAAGGCTAAGAAAATGGCAGATAAAAAACTGAGATAGAATAGATATGGGAGGTCTGTCCACCAATACCAAAGGGCCAGAGTTATTTCTGAACTTGCTTAAGGGCAGAAGGCAGAACAAAAGAAGGGCGCCTCTCTGTACTGTCCCGAGAAGAAAGTGCAAACAGGCTCGCTGTCTACCAAGTGAGTCCTGCTAGCAGCTAGCAGGTTTTTTTTTTCCCCCCCTACCTGGATGTGCCTTCAGCTGGCATTCATCAAGCCAGTGCCTTAGTAGATTTTGTGTTCTTTCTCACGGGCTTAATCAGAGCTTCCTCACAGCTCTCGAGGAGACTGAAACAAGCAAGCTTGAACTCAATTGACTTAGAAGTCAGAATAGACTCCAGATGGAAACCGAGTCACTTGTGGGCCACCACAGTTTAGCCCAGGTCCGTAGAGCTCCACTTTGGTCAAGCTCACCTAGGTACAAGAGAACTAGCAATACCAAAACGGTGACTCTGTGGAACGAAGCAGCTGGAGGTGAAGAACGCTGCAATCTGGGAAAACCAGGCACACATGCTGCTGCCAGACGGGGGCTCACTGCTAATCAGAACTGCAAGCTAAGACTGGACGTCAAGACAGCCCAGGAATTCTCAGAGGACACACGGAGCCGGCCTCTTCACCAACTTGCTTCCTTTTAGTTTCAGTTCCCACTGCCAAGGAAAATTCCTCAAGTTCTAAATCTCAAGTAAAAACCTGATTAATATTGCCTCTCTGTTTAAGATAGATCACTCTTCGCTGTCCCCTGCTTGAGGCTGGAGAGAACCAAAACTGCTCCTTTCCTTAGTGTCTCCACAGTTTCTAGCAGTCCTGAACCTTCAGCACTCTCTGATTAGATATGAGCTGTCCAAGAGAAAGAACTCACCTGTCCCGAGATGCTGCTGTGGGGAGCTTCAGTGCACGTAGAAATTCCAGCGTTAGACGTCAGGGCCGGAGATGGAGGCTTCTCTTCAGAAATGGGTCAAAGGGGTCGGTTCTGTAATGCTAACGACTATTTTCATACATCACAACCACTGTTTTCAGTAAAATTGTTATCAGTTATCAGTTCCAGATAGGAATAAGTAAGGCGGGTTGAATGCAAGAAACGAACTCTAACCCACCCATCTCTCCAGTTTCCCTCCTTTCCCTCTCTTTCTTTCCCTTCATTCCCTCTCCTTTCCTCTTCACTCCTAAACTTTTTTAATTATTGTGTATACAGTGTTCTGCCTGCATGTATGACTGCAGGCCATAAGAGGGCACCAGATCTCATTATAGATGGTTGTGAGCCACCATGCGGGTGCTGGGAATTGAACTCAGGACCTTTGGAAGATCAGGCAGTGCTCTTAACCTCTGAGCCATCTCTCCAGCCCCCACTCCTAAACTTTTAACTCTATTTTTTTGTGAGAGGCACATTTAGGAACCACAGGACAGTGAGGCCATGAGGGAACTTAGCTTTCAAAATGGAGAAAAAGCCTTTTATTTTGGGAGATCCTTCCATAGGGATTTCATTGCTGCTCTTGGTAGAGACATCTAACTGTGAGCTGATCACAGCTAGACTCTCCCTCCACTGCCTCTTCCTGCCTCCAAAGCTCCACTCCTCCAAATCCCTTCACTCTAGGGCTTGCTGTTTGATGCTCATATCTCTCCTACTCAATATGAGGGAGAACACCAGGTCCCTCAACTTCAGAATAATCCTGACAAAACTGCCTATTCTTTCCCTCCCTCTGCTCCACTTGTGATGTTTATGTCAACCAAGCCTAATCATGCTTCTCATAGTTCTCTAACTACTAAAGTGCCTTAACTTCACCTGTGAGGCAGACTCCATTCTAGAGACCACTTGCCTGACCTGCTGTGAATACAGAGCTGCCCCTAATCAGCATCCTCGCCTTGTCCTCCCCATCTCTGTGCTTCCATTCCTCACTCACTGTAATCAGATCTGAGGCAGAATGGGTAGAGGTGTGGGGACCTAAGAAAACCGACTTGGCTTCACAGACTCCATTTTGAAAAAGGGCCTCCATCTTTAGACATCTGGTAACCAGGGGTTGAACTCAGTTCCAGAAAAAAACCACGAAATGTGCAGTGGCAGCAAACGTTAAGCACCGACCCCTAGACACAGTCAATCAGAAGACAGGGCAATGAGCTTTACAAGGTCTGGATGTTCTTGCAGACATCCTGTTGGTGTTTGTGGTTTCGGGCAATAGCCTGACCAATGATTTTAAAAATCACCTGGCCCCATATCCCCGACCCAATCCTGAAATGCCCAAGACTTGGAACTCCCTTCTTGTGGTTGTTCCCCTTAAAAACTTACCCTTCCCCGAGTTTGGGGCTGTATTCCTTCCATCTGCTGTGTTGGAGTATTGGGTTGCAGATCAGGCTCGAGCTTGTCAATAAAGACCCTTGTGTTTACATTGGAAACCAAGTCCTTGCTGGTCTCATTGTGGGTCTTCTTACATGGGCATAACACAGGAAGATGGCCAAGTTTGAGATCTAAACTTCTCATCAGTAAACCTGTGTCTTCCTGCATAAAAGAGGTGGGGACAGTGTCTTTTATCTACAGCTAAAGAATCCCCAAGGAAGAGATACATCCCTAAAGCAATTGAAGCAGAAACGTTTATTTTTTATTAAATTTATTTATTTTACATTCCAACCACAATTTCTGTCTTCCGTATTTTATCTCTTTCTTAATCCTCAGGCCCCTTTCTGGTGCTGTTCAACAGGTCAGCGAGTTCACACAGCGTGAGAATGCTATGGAGTAGACAAAGGCATGGGGCCATCTTGTTATAGCAGCAAGGCCTGGATGTGCTCAACTCTGATTGGTCCAATGGTGACTAGTAGCTGTGCTCTGAGAGTCTGTCCCAGGCCTGTTCACTCATAGGAACGTGAAGTGACACACTGGGGGATGCTGGCCACTGAGCTCAACCACACTAGTGACAGCCTGGACAGCCATCCCTGGAGAGGTGGACGGTGGGACAGATAACTTCCCCTCTCCTACCTTTCTGATCAGGGTTGAAGAAGTCCTGGGTGTGGAACTCTGTCAGAATTGGCCCCAATACCAACCTGAACACATGGCATAAGTGAAAAAGTAGGAGGAGCCTTGGGATGGGGAATCTGAGGGCACAGCCTCTCTCCTAAACAGAGTTTGTCCAGGTTTATTCCCCAGGGGCCTGGGAAGAAAACTCACCAGAGGTGCTTTTGTTGTGGGCTAGGCCGATGATCCCCATGGCCTCTCATGGGTCAATTTATTTATTTATTTATTTATTTATTGGTTTTTCGAAACAGGGTTTCTCTGTGGCTTTGGAGCCTGTCCTGGAACTAGCTCTGTAGACCAGGCTGGTCTCGAACTCACAGAGATCCATCCACCTGCCTCTCCTTCTACAAATCCCAACACAATTCTTCACAGACCTTGAAAGAACAATAATCAACTTCACATGGAAAAACAAAAACCCAGGGTGGCCAAAACATTCCTGTACAATAAAGGAACTTCTGTAGGCTTCACCATCCCTGACATCAAGCTCTATTATAGAGCTCCAGTACTGAAAACAGCCTGGTATTGTCATTAAAAACAGACAGGTTGACTAATGGAATCGAATCAAAGAAGTGGCTATCAGTCCACACACCTACGAACACTTCTTATTTTTGACAAAGAAGCTAAAATTATACAATGGAAAAAAGAAAGCATCTTCAAAAAATGGTGCTGGCATAACTGGATGTCAACATGTAGAAGAATACAAATAGATCCATATCTACCCCATGCACAAAACTCAAGTCCAAATGGATTAAAGACCTCAGTTCTGGCACCTTTAATTGAACCCTGAATGGAAGCCTTATAGGCTAGAACTTTAAGGCTCCCGCTTACTGAAGCCCAAACAGATTTCTGGTTCTCTTTCACTTATTGTGGAGACCTTCTTTTAAATCCTGAGGGGGTTCCTGGAGAGATGGCTCAGAGGTTAAGAGCACTGGCTCCTCTTCCAGAGGTCCAGTTCAATTCCTAGCAACCACATGGTGGCTCACAACCATTATAATGACATC